TTTTCTTTCTTTTTCTTTTTTCTTCTCTCTCTCTCTCTCTCTCTCTCTCGTACATATGAATTATATCATCACGATTGTTGGAGCAGGACGTCAATTGTTCGCAGGCACGTCTGAATTTAAAAAGCGAATTTAAAGATCGAAATATTTTTACATATTTTGATCGTTATTGATTTACATCGTTGTCCAGCTGCTTGAATTAAAAGGAAAAAAAGGAAGGGAAATAAATCAATTCGATTCGAATCTTTATGAATTTTTCACGAGCGAATGATTTCGAGCAAAATTTTTGTTACAGTTCGTTTAAAAATTAATCGATGATTCCTAAAGAATAACCCTTTCATTTATGCGACTTTAGCTATTCTTTTCCCTACATTTCTCTTGCATCTCGTGTCGCTCTGTGCTTGTTTCAGCCTATTGTTACAAAGGCCATCCAAAAGAAAGCTGAAGCATGTAGCGAACCGACGAGAAGAGGTGGTCACTCGTGACGTTGTTCACGGTTTGGCTAAGTGGCCTTGAGCGGCCAATTAATATCGAACAAACAATAGAAAGAATGCAGGCTGTTCTAAAAAAAAAAAGAGTCGAAGACTTCACGTGCGCATAAAAGTATTCCACATATGTGGAAAGAATTTTTCCATTATGTTATTTATCCTCCTCCTAACTCGATCTTCCTTCTTTTATCACTTTTTGTATCATATTTGGATAAATTTAGCGAAAGAAATTTAAAAATTGAGGGAACGAAATAGAAGAGATATAATTCTAGATTTACATATAGATAGATCACACAGATAAAATTTCGAAACTCTATTCTCTTCTGCATTTGAATTCTTAATGATTCCAAAGGGTTATTCTTTTATTCCAAAGAGAATGATTCACAAAAGATCGTTTTCCATTCGATTTTTCGAAAATACATTCAGCAGCTGGACACGAAAGCATGAGTCAAGGATGAAACGCGTCCAAGCCTCTACGAAGCGAAAGAGATGAGGGCGACGCGCGAAATTTGAACTTCGAAGCGCCTCGAGACCTGGTCTGATCATCGAACGTCCCGTTCCACTGAAAGGGACACGGGTGCTATCTGTCTCGAATCAGATCACGAACACGCGGCTGTAATACGATTATTAATAATGCAACAAATATACATCTTACGACATTACAAGAAACAAGAGATGAAAATATTAAAAAAATAAATAAATAAACAAAGTAGAGAGAACGGAAAACATCAAAGGTAAAGAAAAATTAAAAAAAAAAAATAAAATAAATAAAAAAAAGATAAAAAAAAATTGGAATAAAATGACATCATGTTTACGTAGTACTAGTAAACAAGAAAAAAAAAAGAAAAAAAAAAAAAAGAAGAAGAAGAATATCCAACACATCCGTTACCAACACATTAATCGTCGTAATAATTACCGTACACGAACTGCCATGCCATTAAAATCATAATAAATATATATATCAGATTCAGAATAAATATATGTAATAAATATATATTATATGTATATTGTATATACTTCTCTATAGCCAAACGTTCCGAACCGAAACAACATAACAAAAAAAAACAATGTTTGTTTGTAAGAACAGAGAGTATAATATATATATATATCTTGGTTACACGTAGTAGACGTACGCAATAAATGTATATATTTATGTATATATATATATATATATAATAAACATAGGTGTATATGTGTGTGTGTCATACATACATATATATATATATATATAAAAAATATATACATACAAATGTATTATATGTATTACAGACCAGCCATGCTAAGGGCAACACTGAGTAAAGTCCAACTAAACGAGGGTAAATCAAATGTAACAATAATAAGCTGCAAAGAGCCACAACAATGAGAAACAATGCGAGCATTAAGGCGTCGCTGTGCCGCTCACTATGCCAGCCCGCTCGTGTCGACAACCGGAAACTTCACTAGCCAATCCCTCCCTCCCTCCCTCCCCCATTTCTCTCATCCCGATAAAATTCGATACAAAAATTTCAAAATTTCGATCGAAAAAATGGATCGTTTGTCAAAATTGTCAAAAATTTGGTAGGAAAATAAATTGTTTCAAAAAAGAAAAAGATAAAAAAAAAAGGCGATAGCACGCGTACTGTACTCATCCCCCAAAAATCATTATTATTATTATTATACTTCTCGTTCTTTCTCGATCTTCTCTTTTCCTATTTTTTTTTTTTTTTTTTTTAATTTTCATTCGATTCGTTATCATCATTCATCCACAACTTTCACGGGCAACGAGCAGAGTTGGCTGAGCATAGCGAGGGCCAGCTACGCCCTTAGGTTTAAGTCGGGACTGACCACTGTTTAAGAAGAAGTGTTGCAGTAGAAGGGAGGCGATAGGCTTGACTAGAGATTAACATAAGTGGGTTCTTGCTGAGGCGAGGAGGCATTGGAGGCAGTGTTGGTGTTTGGAGGGGCAGTCGCTGCCCCTACCGTCCCTCCACCGCCTCCAGCCCCGACCCCTGCCCCCGCGCTACTTCCCACACCGTGATGGATTATGCTCGCGTGGATGCCCATCCCCGCTCCATGCTCCACTGGGCTGCCAAAACCAACCACCAGCCATTAAAGGGGCGCTCGTCGCATCGACGTTATCACTTTAATCCCATCTTAATCCCACACCGTATCGTCGTCACCCACACGCATCGGCCCCGAGTCCGTGGACACGCGAGATATCTGTCCAAAAGCGAGCGGACTCGCGGCTTGTTCTCGCTTCTTTTTCTTCTTTTTTTTTTTTTTTCCTTCTTTCACCCTCGCGATTTACACGCTTTTCCGTTTCTTCGTAAATTTGTTATTCGAATTACGATTTACGATCGACGATCGTTCGATTCGAGGTTTTTTCTTTTTTTTTTTTTTCTTTTTAGACTTTCATTTCGAATTTCGTTCATTCCAGAAGACGAATGATCGAAGCGTTGGATTTCGTTCAAGCCACCTCGACGACGAACGAACTCGATCGAACATCTGACCGAGGCGGAACGAGGCGATCCGACCGAACGATTTTGTTAGCGATTTCGCTCTAATCTAATCAGAAAATATGTCTCCCAAGTTGGCTCCGTGTTTGCGGAGCTTCCACCGTGTGTCGCCACTGTGTCGGGAATGATCCTGTGACTGGGTCTCATTGAAGGAAGATTTTAAGAAAACAGTGGTCGAACGACTCGCAAAAGCTCGAGCCAAGTGTTTTTATTGTTTCTTTTTTTTTTTTTTTGTAATGAATTACGATTTTGATCGTTAATTGCATACCGCGGAGAACAGTGGTCGGGATTCGTCACATCGCCCCTTTAATGAGGTCCATGAGATTCACAAACCCAGCCGGGAGTTGGGGGCGTTTGGGCGCACTGTGCGATTACGTACAGTGAGAACGGAAATCATTGTGGCGCTAAAACGGGTGGCTCGTGATGCCGCAAATAAACTACTAGTGTGGTATCTAGTCAAGATATTTACAAGCAAAAGTACACAAGTGGACGATGGATCGTTTCGTTTTCGGATCGATCCAACAGCGTGCTAGAAAGATCTATTTTTTTCTTTTTCCTTCTTTTTTTTTTTTTTTTTTTTGGTAAGTACACATTTTCTGACGGTCGCTTCTAGTTCGTTCTTCTCTTTCTTTTCTCTTTATCCCATTGAACATGACACGGACAAGCTAGATTTTCATCGCGAGGACTCGACATAATATTTTCCATTAATGAATCCTTTGAATTTTTGCAATTTCTCGTGAATTTTACATCCGCGATTTGAAAAATTTCGAGTCGCTATTCAACATTTTTTCCTTTCTCTCTCTTCTTTTTTTTTTTTTTCAAGTTCCACGATAACATGTGGATGACGGAACGGAGTAGAAGACGATAACAGTAAGAAGTGGTGATAATCGAGAGATACTATATTTCGTGCCCGGGTCTTGCAAGTCTCTTACGTCGAACGTGATGGTCCGCGATTTTATCACCGGTCAATTGCTGTATTTTACATCTTTATCCGGTTGCCAAGGAGTTGCGCGAACGAGTATCCTCCATTTTATCGAGTAATTTATTTTAAATTTATATTCTGGTAAATTTTCATTCTCCTTCTCGTTTCATAAATAAATCCCCAATTCGAGATACGTTTTGTGTAACATGAAAATTCTGTCGATTTTAAAGAAGCTATTCTTTTTGTTCGTTTCATATATATAAATTTTTCTTATTTCAAGAAGATACTCGATCGACGACAATCCGACGTATCGTTCACCATCATTTACCACATGTAGAAAGAAAAGTAATTTCCTCTATAGTGTTCACACTACTATGAATCGACGTGAGACTTCTAGTTTTCTTCTCAACACTTCTCAATATCGAAATACGTATGTACACGCGACCGGAATAGCGTGCGCAGCTTGTCGACAATGACGGTATATAAAATTCTTCTCTCAAAAAGCAACGAATCAAACCCTCTACACGATGCACACGTACCTGCACGGCTTGCACCATTGGCTTTGCTGGTCTAATCCGTACCTTGCGCGACACTTCTTCATGTTGTTACCTAGAAAATGCGAAACGTGCACCGATTAGCGGGTTGCACAGCTTCTCAGGCTGTGAACAGGATTGGGGTAGCGTTTTATTTCCCTTATTTTTCTTTTTTTTTTTGTTTTCTCTTTTTCTTTTTTCTTTTTCTTTTTCTTTTCCCGTTCTGTGTCACGTACAACACTTACTTAACATAACGCAATAGTGCTTCGTTAACTGGACGAGATTTTTTTTCGCTCGAAATATATATTTTTTTTTTTTTTTCCCTCTTCTAAACGAGAAAAAGAGGAAATTTATAATACTTTTGGCTGCTTATAGTATTTAATATTATTGATTCAATTTGGTGGCGATCAATGAAGAAGAAATTTTCTGAAGGTATTAAAAAAAGGATATCTCTTCTGAAACTGGCCAGACGTGAATCGAACCACGGCCAATTAACGAAGCACTACCGTGAATTGTCGAATTTCTTTCGTTTCGTTGAACGGATGACTGTGACGTTCGAGCCATAAAATGATTCTCTGTGATCTATCCTATGATCAATATTATAGGACGAACCTCAAAAGGATTAAAGTATCATTATTAAAATAAAATATCATTTGCTAGAAGAGTTAGACACATGTCGATTGTGATCTGTATCTGTAATAATCGAAGAATTAGCTATTAGATTACTAAGATGACGATATCTCTTATCATCATTAGCTAAAAAAATGATACTGAATTAAAACTTTTAATCTAACATTTTTTTTTTTTTTTTTTACATTTCAAAATATATTTAAATTTCTGTATATAATTGTAATTTTTACTCGTAATTTTTAATTTTTAATATTCAGTGTGAAATTAATATACGAGAAAAAGATGTTCCCGACCTTTGACCATTTTTTCATTGTTTAATTTAAAAAAATATTGAATTTTTAAGTATCGATCGTTTTAAAGTAGGAAATAAGTGGGAAGAAAAATTTTGTAATCATTCATCCATATTGAACATCTTGAATAAAGTATCCTATCTGCTTTTTAAATACTTAATATCAATACTACATTAGAAAAGATATAGTAAAAATTTTTTCATTTAAATTTGGAGCAATGTTAAATAGCAAAACTTTAAGTAAGAACAACGTAATCAATTGTTCTTTTAATTCATAATTCACTAATACAATATCTTCTTAGATCTTTAAATCTCTAAAACTGTAAAAAAACTTCCACTTTGTGTCACTCTTCTGCAAGTAAACGGACGATATATTTTTTTGAAACACTTGAACACCAATGATCGCGTCAAAATTTATTTGTCAACTAGTCATGCGTACAACAATATATTGGCGACCGATTGAGCTTGATCGAGCCTGGTGAAAGTTTAACAAATTCTCAATTCTTGCAAACTTGGAATCCCTTCAAACCAGTGAGAGAAATTTGAGATCGTGATGCTCAAGCTCAAATGGTCAAGAAATTTGACAATATAACCAGCGAGGCAGGATCTTCTCGGAAGACAGTTTTATATTTGTTTAAAATTACTATTCATTCATAAGTCACCAAACGATTGAATAACAACATAGGAATAATTAAACTGTGTTGTGAAATTATTATAAAAATTAAGGGATGATGAAACGAGGGCTGAGAATCATAACATAGTTTCAATGAAACAATTTTATAAAATAATGTTGCGTGTAATTTAAATGATAAATACGGTTACAAAAGAATAATATTTTTTGAAAAAATTGAAAAATATAATTATTTTTATTATGACTTTCAGCCCATTTGTTAACTATTATATTTTGGAAAAAGAAATTAACTTATCCTATGTAAATTTTAAACATAACGTTAAACATAATCTTGTATTTTTTTTTTTTTTGAATTTATTTTAACTAACATTAAACGTTTAAAATTAAGAAATGTGACTTAGTGACTTATGAATAAGCTGCATACATACATCCATTTGAATACTATGAAATAAACGTTGAATTATTTTCAACGCAAGACATGACATGTAGTCTTCGGAGAATGAACCTGCGAATTAACAAGAAAATTT